GGTGGATTAGTGGTTCATTGGTCAGAAAAACAGTGCAGAAAGCAGGAGACCTTCAGGCAGATACAAATGATGTAAACTGTGAAGAAATCGTCATTTGCCCCAGCTGTTGAACAAATATTGTTTTAACAAAATGTCTAGTGTTGGCTTTAATGACCTAAATATGTTCCGGTCCATATTTCTTAAGGGCTTGTTTTGGTATAAACGTTTGTAAGGGATGTCGTTTTTTTTCTGATTAGACTTAATTATACAGAATTACATTAACTTAATGGAGAGTTACTCATGTTTTATGAGCTTATGGTCAGCCACAAAGCTGCTCACTTAAATATCCTCCTCGATTTTTATTTTCGAGTAAGACACCAGAGAACAGATTTCCTGCTGCCATAAAAAAAAAGCAGAAAAATGGGAACAAAAACAATCTTTCCCAGTTGTTTAAACTTGAACTCCAGCAGGCTGACGGGAGGTGGGTTTTGGGGCCATCGGTGACGGAGTGATTCCTCTCCGCACAGGCTGCATGCATACATCAAAGATTCTCAGCATCAGCAGATAACTGGTCCGTCCAGTGAGCGAAAACAGCTGGGGCAGAACAAAACAAAGATGATATAAGCGGCTTCTTCTTCTGTGGCGTCGACAATGATAAGACCCAGCGACAGCCTGGTGTTGAAGAGAGTACCCCCCCCCCCCCCCCCCCCCCCCCCGCCCACCCCCAGCACCACCAACACCAGACAATTTAGAGACTCGCGTAATGCAAGAGGAAATAAAAATGGTGATCTCTTGAACCCTGTCAGAAGAAAAAAGTCTGGCTTTTGTCGCTGTAGCCATTTTGGGGAAGTAGTGGGAGTGACTTTAAGTTGCCGGGACTGCGACCTGTGAAAGCATTCAAACATGCCTCAATGTCAGCAGGGGAGAACTGGGGAAACGCAGTGGAGCCATGACGAATCGAATCGGACATATAAATGATAAACATGCGAAAAGGTTTCTGTCTTGAGCTAAACGTCTGACACACGGTGTCCTTGTTCTTCTGTAGCCTGTGTTGAAGAGACGGCTTGACAAACTGCACAATGACTTATGCGCTGTGAGGTGGTACTGAAATGAGGCAAACCCTGAACATTTCATGTTGACGGACATAACAGCCAAACCAATGTATGTTTCTCAAATCACTCACAATGAGCAAAACAGCGCAGGCTGTGGTGGATGCAGACATATGGAAAGGACTATTTCCATTTTTTAAGATGAAATTTTCCTGGACACTACCCAAGGCGGAGGTAAACATTTTCGTGGAATGTACAATTTCCCTTTGCATTTCGCTGACATTGCTCATGGCCCGACCAAGGATCAAACTTCAGCAGTTGCCAAGAACAAAAGTTCTTATTTTTGAAGTCTTGGTTGCTGACATGAGATATTTACTATATCTACATAGGTATAATCTTCCTTTGGCCTACTAAGTATATTCCTACAGCCATAGTGACCAGGATTTCAAGGCAGGTTTTGTAATGTATCACTAGGGTTTCACAAAAGACAGGATTGCTGGGAATGAATTGCACGGAATCAGACAGGATCATGCAAATGAGAGGGTTAACAGGATTATAGTGTGCACACACTGATGATATTACTTTTAGTGTTGGATGGTGAATTATTGTTATTACGTTAAAGCATTTATGAAATGAAATGAAAACAATCCTTTCTTATTCTGTCTCTGTCAGTGATACGCTGAAGTGAAGCTGCACTTAGAACATTAAGAATGATCTTTGGAAAAGTGTTTCTACGACCAAAAGTGTAAAGTTTTCCTTAATTTAAAGCAGCGACATGTTAGCGATTGAGTAGCTAGCGCTAGCCCGCCTCATTAGGCTCAACAAACCATAAACTTCTTCTGTGACGTAGTATATCATTTCGGGGAGCTGTGGCATCGAAAACTATGCAAGTTAGTTTCTTTACATGATACACATTTGGAGACCTGACAGGTGATTCCTCCCAATGAATGTTCTTTAGTGATCTTTAGTGATCTTTAGGGACGGCTGTACTGTAAAACCCAGCGTTCAAAACCCCCAAATGACAAATAGCATGTTGTGTAGTGTAAATATAAACAGCGTTCAGACATTAGCATTTGCCTCCATAGTAACAAATTGATTTTGATCCATTATAAATGTTACCATGGCCCACAGAAAGCATCTGTTCATCCACTTCAAAGTACTTTCATGACTCAAAGCGATGTTACCGTCCGCGATTATATTGACTTTGGAGAGCAGCGGGGGCCAACCAGACCCCCTTCGTCCCCCGGGGCCATCCAGAGCCAGAGCCAGAGCCACGTCTGGTGAAAGTGTGAGTCAGGGATTTCACAGCAAGGCTGCTACACCTCCATCTGGGCCCCTGAATTAAACATCAGCTACGCAGACAGGCTCCCCGCTGGAAAGCTTCAGGGACCAGGAACAGGGGCCAATTAACCCATGTGGCTCTTCAGACCTGACTTTGTAGCCAATTAAGAGGGCATTTTATAGAAGGGGATCAGAAGGGATGATAAAAGGGATGGGTTTGATATGACATCAGGCACAGAGCTTAAGGGAAGCCCTTGCCAATCATTGCAGTCACCATATGCAACACATTCAGAATGCCCTGGATAATTAGTAATACTAATAGCGTCTACATGATCTATTGTTTCCCTTAAGCTTCCAAAAGCACCAACTACATTTGCTACTAGTGATCTGTGAATAGTTGAGGTCCTTTTGTTGAACCATTGCACAATGACTCTGGCCAGGTCACATAATGTCACTGTGGCATCGGACACAAGTTTGTCATCACTGCAGCTTAGTTCCTCTTTCTCTGAAGGAATACTTCTGTATTCTGTATTTGAAAGGAGGACAGGAAACATGAAGTGGACTAAATCAGGAGAATGCTTTTCTTTCACCAAAGTAAAAGATGGAAATGATCACAAGATTCCACTCCAACAGCCTGGTGTGTTGCTATTTCTCAAATGAAATATTATGCAAATCATGTCTCTAAAGAAGCCTCATCATTTCAGTCTGTCATGAAATATTTGAATATATTTGAATTCTTTTTATAGAGGAACTGGGATGGAAACAACAGTTTCCACAAAATTGTGAAAAGGTAAAACATGTGTAGCTTAACACGATGCAGGCTGTGGTTCATTTTGATTTTGCCGAGTGGTGTTAGAAGAGGGTCCCATAATAATATGTCTAGAATTTATTCCCATACAGTGCAGGCCTTAAGTATTAGAACAGTGATGTATTTTTGGTGTTTTGGTCTCTAGTCCAGCACATTGTATTTGAAATGAAACACTTGCTATGAGGTTGTGGGTGAACATTGCAGAGTGTTTTACCTTTTGGCAAAATATGGCTTTCTAGATGGTTTATCAGATATGGATGTAAAAAGTTTAGTGTTGGCTTGCATATGAAATTTTATTACAAAACACAATGCATAGGATTACAGAGGTGAAAATGTCGCAATAATTACAAACTTTCCTGGTTGTGAACCATTTTTGGGGGATATTCAGCTCCAATAAGAGTCTGAATTTTGATCTTCTGCAAAGCAAATTTCTCAATTAGCAGTTATTTTTCTATGAAAAAGGTCTTCCTGTGGTTCTTATTTATCACAAAGCAAACAGTTAAGGGGAAAAAGGACCATTATTGCTGAGACAAGGAATATAAAAGTTGAATTTTTAAACTATTTCCGCTCACTGTCATAAATGACTTTCAACGTAGGTTTCTGTTACTGTACTGCAAAATTTGATTAAAAAGTGGAGAGTTGGGAATACACGCCTTCTTTGGCTCATGTCAACTATGATATAAAACACAAGCACCCCATATGTCTGCTCTGCTTATTTCCTGCATAAACCTGCTTCTCTCAGATCAGCACACACACACACACACACACACACACACACACACATTAAACAACGTTGTGATTTGTGAACTAGCGGTGAAAATTATTTGAAATATAATCTTTACAATATTTGTAACTCAGAATTCATTGCATTCAGCTCTCCGTACACCCCCTCCATCAACCCTTTCCCTCAGGGTGGGAAAAAGCGTAATGACGGTGAAACTCAAAGGAACAGGTGTTCCTCTCGCTGTGGGGATCTTTGAAGGTGCTGAGGGTTACAGGGAGATTGTGAATCACTGCTAATTGCATGCAATTATAGTTGTGAGGTGTAAAATGAACTTATTCTAGTGTTGCAATGAATTATAGAATGAGGGATATTTCTGGATGGTAACTGAACAATGACTGAGGCTGAAGGGGATTCACAGAGAACGTACTCCATTATCATGATTAGACTGTAAGAGCAAATTGTTTGATTTATTACTATAAAAAATGCCAACTCAACTTTCAGATCCATCAAATTAAAATCCAAAATATTATGTACCAGTAGGATTAAAACCACAGAGCCAAATTAAGTCAACAGGGTTCGGCTGCAGCCTTGTTTATTGTTGTTAAAAATGAAGCACGGCTTTCTGATCATCAGTTCTTCTCTCAAGAGGGCATTTATTGAAAGTATTTAATTACATTTTTAATTGACAGCGTAGTCCCATGTCTAATTACAAAACTCTAGAGAAGTTGCTCCACGAAAGGGAGCAAAATAAAAGCATTTGCAACAGATATCTAGAAGAGCTTGTGTTACTTTATCAGTGAAGGCAACCTTGACTAAACCAATTTAGAGGTGACAAATAAACGTCATTTGTATTCTTTGACAGGGAAAAAAAAAAACATCCAGGACGAATAACCTGAAACCAGCAGGGAAATATCTGACTGATGCTACATCTGGAACTCTTTTCATAAAGTCTACTTAGCAAAGTTTTGACCACAATCGTTTTGCTAATCAGATTGATCATCATGTTTCCATCATGATTGCACTGTAAGACACATATTCTATAAATGTATTACTGAGATTTCTTCATATGTCAGTTGCCTCATGACTATGACAACGCGTTTTGTCATCCTAACAGCAGAACTGAAAGCAGACTCTTGACTAAAAAAAGTTTCCTTCCCACTCCAGACTCACTTCTCTTGAGACTGTCGTTTACGTCTCAGCTTCATTACGAGTGGCTGGTAGTGCTTCTGAAACAGGTCTTCAAAAGGTAAATCAAAGATTAAACTAGAAACGAGAATCCTTACACCGCTAGGACTGCCGCTGGATACCATGGCGTGTTTTGCCGCCACAGTTGGTGTCATCATTCTGTCGGGACTTATCAACCTCACAGCAGCAGACAAGGACACTTGTGATCTTCATGCTGCAGTTGGACAGAATCTAACTCTGCCGTTTGTCCACGAGGTAATGGCAAAGTCAGAGGTGTTGAGATGGACTCACAACAACACGATCATTTTACTCAGACAACGAGGCAAAGTCTCTGTTGGGAGGACGGAGGACATATCTGCAACAGGATCTCTTCTGCTGAGGAATCTAGGATTCTCAAGTGCTGGGATTTACCAAGTACATGTGCTGAATGTCAACGGTACACTGGCTAAAGCGTGGACCGGGCGTCTCTGTGTGATGGACAAGGTACCAAAACCTCAAGTCACCTACACGTGTGACCTCAAGTCTGGCGCTATTAATCTAAAGTGCCACATAGCAAAGACTCAGCCTTCACTCTTCTCATGGACACTCAACGGAAAGACCTTGAGCAGCGAAACCAAACAAACACTGAGCGTATCGCTGGCGCAGCTGGAAGGGGAGAGGAGCTTCGCATGCAGTGCGGCAAACAGAGTCAGCCAGGAGAAGAGTGACACTGTCCGCCCGACGTGTGAAAGTCCACCGCCACCAACCATCTGTTTGGCATCCAAAATCGCTGCAGCGCTGCTAGCAGGAGGAGCAGGTGTGATTGTGGTTTTGCTCATCTTTGTCATCGTATTATGTCGCAGTCACGTACGCATCAAAAGCCAAATGCAACGCGGGGACGAAGGGGAAGCGAGGATGATTTCTCTAAACAAACGAGAGTCCGACTCCATCGGCCGAGAATACGAGACTCTGATCCCGACGGAGGACTCTGCACCCCGGGGACCCGATTCCCCACCTGGAGCCTGCTACGAGACGGAAGCGCAGACTGAAAACCGTCCCGAACAGTCCACAGCTGTTGGAGGACAACTTACACCTGTGCCAAAGCCGAGGACGAAGGGCCCCCGGACACCGAACATCTGAATCTGCAAAAAAAGAAAATGGCTTCAGAAACTTTCCTTTTGATGTCCCCATTTTTAAGCTTCACTTATTTGTATTACTTTATTAATCCAGCATGTTGTTAATCTCTAATTTAGCTTGTATAATGGTGTTGGTAGATGGTTGGAGGGGAATATAAAGGGGACAATGCTAGAAATGTTTAAATAATCATGTATTGTTCTTTTATGTTACCGGTGGTCTCATCCTCTTTACAATGACTTCCCTGTATGCACTTCTGTTTTATGAATAAACCAATTTCCCATGTAAAAGAGAGTAAAATGTAGATTATAAATAGATTAAACTATATACTGTAGCTGGTTGTATTCTAGATCTTATTTTTGTAAATGAAAGAGATACAAATAAAAAAGATCTAGTGTGATTTTCAACCCTTCCACAGTCATTAAACCCGTCTGTTGCACTCATTGTCTGTAACTGAAGATATAAAAACAAAGGTGTAGATGTAAAATCATGATCATTTCATAAAACAGCTCGTCAACAAATTGTTTGGTACTGAATTCAGCAGTGTATTAGTACACATTGGCTGCTCTAACAAGTCTTGGCCGCACTAGGACTGTGCGTGTGAGATCCATATCACGGTAATGAGTGAAAATGTCCCTCAGTGTGACGGTGTGTCACACTGGCGTGTTTTAACAAAAGTTTTAAAACCAAACAATGATCTATGGCGCAAAGACAGAAGCTATTTCAGACTTTTTAAAAGAAAATAATTTGTTTTTGTCAATTTACTTGGAATGGTATGAGAACTATTATATCTTAACCGCAATAATGTCTTAAATGACATAATGGACAAAACTATAACTGAGACACAACTATTCACCGTCTGATCCCACTTAAGCATTGTATTCAATGAAGAGGAACTTTTCCACTTTTATCCAACAATTGAGTTTCTGTAATGTATTTTTTGTGGTTTAAGTAAATGGCATTTATGGAAGAAGAATGGACAACCACAGTTGACAACCAACTGTGGTTGTCAAGTTCAACTTGAGTGTCATATTTGTATGGAACAGTAGAGCTGTGTCAAAAACAGCCTTTAGTTCCAGCTTCTTACAAGTCAGCATTCTTGCACGTATTAGAATTTGCTTGCTTGCAAGAAGTTATTAATAGAAACAAAATCAATAGAGGAACGGCTCGGCTAAGGCAAATATCTATTATCTCCAATGGGTAAATGGTAATCCACACATGAAAGTGTTTGCTGCCTTCCCTAATGCTGTGTGACAGCCACATAATGGAATCCCCATGAGCGTCATAGCCCAAAACCTACAAGCCAATGTCATCTTTTGTCAGTGCCCTGCTCCACTCCTGCTCTCTTTACACGGCTCAAAATTCAGTCCAGCCGGCAGGGATTTGGCAGTAAAGCTGGTATCTGCTCCTGGAATAATGCCACTTGTCTTTCTTGAGAAACGCAGAGACTTGGCTGGCAACACGCCACATGACTCCCCCTCCCCTCCCATCAGTCAAAATGTGCTGCATATACATAGACAGACCAACACATGTCCACATACAGTACATAAGGATACTGTATTCTCACTCACTGTACCCACACACATGCAAACACAAGGGACTACATTTCAAAATACAGCTTAATGAAACACATCTCATAAGCCTTTGCCAGATCTGCCCTGGAAATGGAAGGGAAATACCTCTGAAATGTGTTTAATCAGTGCTCTTGGAGTCCAGAGGATGTAGTCCTTTTGATCTGGGAGTGTGTGTGTGACCATAAAAAGGGTCAATTACCCAAGGAAAGTATTTATACTCATGTCAGATCCTTCCTATTACAGTTATCTCATTGGCACTGGCTGCCATTGGCTGCCAAGTCTGTGGAAGGCAGCCTGACAACCAAATCAGAGAATCAGAGAAGTTGGCCAGTGCAGTGGCCTTTATATCAGATATGACAGAAAATGCAGAGATAATTAGGACCGATTTAAATTCTTGAACCGCCGTGACCTTAGTCCTCTTTCTGGATCATAAAGCACACTAAGCAGTGAGTGAGTTAAGACACAATCTCCCAATCAGTCCAAAGTTTATTGACAAAGCAACGGTGCTCATTATTCTTGAAAATCCAACATGAATATAGCGACTTTGAAAATCACAACGTTGTTTAAAGTAACAGCCTTTTAAAAGTCTTGAAATGTAAAACGTGTGGAGAGATTGTATTGTGGCCTTGCTCAGCACATTGTCATTAAACAGTGCTAAATGATCCTTCAAATGTCCCAGTGACAGTTTTTTCTTCTCCATCTGTTCATCTCACATTTTCTTACACATTCTTTTCACACTACACCATTTGTGGACTATCTCTGCGTGGTCTGTGTCCGTATGCAACACACCAGATGAACTTCACAAATTATCAACTGATTTTTAATGGGGGCGGAATTCGCAGCGATGTTCGGTTACTGGCTGTGAACACTGAGCAACCACTAATCTCCATTTAAGAACCAGCTTTTGATATGAAGCCGTTGCTCAGCCCTGGTGCCAATTTGCCAAAAAGGGTACTGGTAGAATTGCCGCACAAATAACGGCATTAAAAAAAAGAACCCTCAGCAGGAGATCTCGAAAAGTCTTCTATATGGATTTTTAATTTGTAATCCATGAAAAGATTTATTTATAAAATTAAAAAAATGGGTGTGTTCAACAACTTTTTGGGGGAAATGTATTGGTGCCGTCTTTGAGTCCTATATGCGTCCACCAAGGATTATGATTGTTGTCTTTACTTCTTCGTCATAATTAAACGCTTATTGATTGCTGTTAAATGAATCAAATTATTTATTTTACCGGATATCCCTCGTATAGCAATGGTCCATCATTGTCTACTTTGACATGGTGAAAAAGGCCTAACAATTTTATAATTTCATTATGGATAACTTGAAGTTGCAGGAAGCACACGATTTGAGGTTCGAAGAAGATTGGAGGAAGAATTGCCTTGGAAGTTCGGATAGGTTGATTGGGGAATCATTTTTGTGTTTTATTTCCAAGCCCTTTTTAATTTCTGCACTTATAAAACAGCTCATTGAAACTGCGTTCTTGGGTTTGCTGAGGTCCTGGAGGACAAATCTAAACACTCAAATGTCGTATGCCCAAGAAATGAAACATCATACAAGAAGAAAAGAAGGACATAATTAATGTTGGGACCACATTGCCGTCGTCAGTCTGTAGCACAAATATTCCCACCATTTCCTTCTAACGCCCATCAGCAGCTGCTCTGAGCCAAAGTGGCTGGCGTGTGAAGCGAAAAGGCTGAGAAAAGACACAGACAGGAGCACTGCTGCCATTGTGATGGACTGTGACAGCACCCACGTCCAGAGACATGATGCAGAACATCACTGCTCCCAGCAGATACTTCAGGACTCTCAGGACAATGTACGTCAAGACACTCTTGCATCCTCCGGGAGTGCTGAGTAACACGTTTGGAGCTGTGGAAATACCAGTGTGGTCTACTGTTCAGCTACAAGTAAGGAATGAAGACAACGGGCCTTGTTCACTCATTGGCTACATTTGTAAATTAATGGATTTTGGTGTTTTAAGCAAAACATGTGGTTTGTTTTGTCTTTTCCATTTGTCAGGCACATAAAACTTTTGATTAATGACTAAAACTGGAATGGAAGCACATGTATTATTTGCTTCATAAAGCTATGCATGTATATACCTGTGAATGTTTTATAAATCTGGATAAATGTGGAATCCCAATTTAAGTCCAACAGTTAGTCCAAATAGATGTAGAAACATCCACACGTGGCTCATGCTGTAGCTGACTGCTTGTCTCCATCTTGGAAACTGGTCCCGATTCCAGGTGAAGCTCCCGTTCAGGGGATGAGTCCTAACAAACATTCCAGGAAGAGTTGTAGATGAAAAAGAGGGCTGAACTCGGTGAACGGTGCACAAATGCTGTTGAGCAGACCTATCATTTCAAATACAACCTGAGCTCTGTAATAAAAATGCTTGCGTCAGCCAAACTATGCATCCATGGGCTTGCACCTGATATAAATCAGACGGAAGAAAGATTCCACCTACTGCTTTAATAAGCATCTTGAGTGCACAGACTCAACATTCATACAAAGATCAAACATTTCTTTAACATTCTTGCAGATGCCAACACAAAATTGCAACCTGGCAAAAAAGAAACAAAACATGTTTTACACTCCGCTGTGATGTGCATATTGCAAAGTAAGACTTTAGGTTTCGACATAAGTATTTAAGATGGTTCTCCTAGATAACTATGATGCCTTTTGAGGAACACCCAGAAGCGATCATCTGGATAGTTTGAAGCCTTTGTCCCGGTCTACGGGTCTATCTCCACTCGGAGAAAAGGATCCCTTAAGCCTCATTGTGAGTGTGAATTCACACAGCGATAACAGCACGGCAGCGACGGGACCTGCAACACTAGCTGAAGATGAGGGAGTCGTAAAAGTGCGACAGAGGGCTCACCACACAAGGTTTTGCTGTGGCTATGCCATGTAGCATAGCATCAACACAACTCTCCAAAGGCCTCTCTGTCTTTGGGTCCTCCAAGTGTCTTTGAAAGGTCTGTTTGTGGAGGAGGCCTCGTACTTGAAGTCGCATTGAAAAGTACTTATCGGCAAAACAGATAAGAGCTTCGGAAACAAATGCGTGTTTGCGGGTTGTTTATTGCTGTCATAGCTACAAACTAGCTGGGAGAATTACTCCGAGAAAAAAGTAATTGCAGCAATTCAAGTTGAGTGAGGAAAGAAAAAGGCATTCAAATATCTCTAAGTGATTACTAAAGAGTTAGTGCAGCCCGGTGACGCAAGTGACGCATGACCAACATTCATTTCTAAGTCATCTAGACTGCCTGGAACATCGTTTCTGCTTTTTGCGTGTCCTTTTTTTCCATGTAGTCTGTGCTGAAAGCAAAATGCATGGGTGTGGACATTAACGCAAAGACGTGAAAAAGAAGACTTATGTGAGGTGGAAGGGGAGGAATATAGTTACATCCGGCATGTTTGCAGTGTTTTACGTACTTATGTTACGTTGTTTCTGATTTGATTATCTAATATACTTATCTTAAGCCCAACATTTTTTTAAACCACCATGGGTTTGGTTGCCTTAACCCAACTTTGGACGTTTTGGCAATGTTGGGTAAAATGGCACCCTGAAAAGCCTAAAAATGTAAAATCATGATATATAGAATATCCTTAAAATTACCTGTCAATTATAGAGACTCTAATGATATTGGTTTGGTATAAGACACATCATACTTTCAATCTTTTGCATTGGGTCCTAATTGCAGCATTACTAGGTACAAAGTGTCAACCTAATTGAAGCATATTTTTAGCTCCGGTGGTCGGAGGTAGAAAGATCGAAAATATACTAACAGTAAGAAAGGTGTATATCACAACAGCACATTTTATGTATCACAAAGGGATTGTGGTGAC